TACAGGGGAGAGTCAGAAAAGGTGCCTTGGTGTGTGAGGCGGTGCCTTGGTGTGTAAGTCTCCTCAGCAGCCATGTGGCAGGAGCTGGGGATGACAGGGTCAAGCCCTGCATCTGCCTGCTCCCCACTCCCCACCTCCTCCCTGGGCGGCTGGCAGAGCCTGAAAAAAAGTGAGAGTGTCAGAGAGGCTAGAGACCCAAAATAGAGCTTCCTTCACCCCTACTGGCCAGGCTGAGTCATGCTGGAATGTGAGTGAGATTGAGGGCTGTGGGCTGGAGGAGTCCTTGGCCACAGGGGTCAGATGCCTGGGCTCCCAGCTTCCTGCCTTTGTCTGCACCTCCTTAGGGCCTTTCTGGGGAAAGATGAAAGCTGCCAGAAATAACACCTGGCTTGCTGGGAGCTGCTGCCCAGATAAAGGGGATAAAGGTTGATAAAGGAAGCCCCAGCCCCACCCGCATTCCCCAAAGAGGTCTTAGAGAGAAATCTCAGGCCCTGCATTTGGGCAGGTTTCTGAAACCTCTCTGTGACTCAGTTTCCTCATCTGCAAAGTGGGGATGCAAATGCCCACTTGGGGTGACTTGAGGCCATGGTAGCATCTCTACAGCTAGACCTGCCCGGATTAGAAACTCAGATCCTCCAGTGACTCAGCCCCTCTGCCTCAGTTTCACTTGCTGTGAAATGGGCTTGACAGTAATAATTGCTTCCTCAGAGGGTGACTCAGCCAGGGCTCATTAAGTAATAGCTATTATTGCCAAGCAAGGAAACCTTTGGAAAATGCATAGCACCAGACATATTGTTGTTACTCAATAAATGGCACCTGGCAGTCTAATTGGTCCTGCTTCTCAGACCCACCCACCTGCTCCTGGGTCATGAGGTACCAGGCAATCACTGTTCCTTCTATAATTCCATCTGCATCACAGCCTGATGTGGTGAGCAGTTGTCACTCCATTTTTCAGATGAGGAAACTGAGGCACGGAGAAGCAAAGTCACACAGCCAGCAAGAGCGTGGCTGGGATTTGAAGCCAGAAAGTGGGGTGCTAAAGTTGGGCTCATAACCACCAGGCCCTCCTGCTTTTTCTGCAAAAAACCCTGCTATTCCCGTGCCTATCTCCCTGGGCTGGTGCACACTGAACTAACAAGCTACTCCAACCCTGGGCTCTGCCAGTGTGACATCTTACGTGGCCTTGACCCAGTGGCGCACAAAATGACTAGGGAAAAGGAAAGGTCCGGTGTCTCCCTGGTGCCCCCTTAGAAACTCGAACCTGCGACTTTGTAAGTCTCCTCAGTGGTGGGCTCAGAGGCAGAGTGGGGCCAGGGAGAGAGGAGGAGGTGACTGGGGGAGACACTGCCCAGGGCCCTCAAACCTCATCTCTGATCTGCTCCCATACTTCCCAGCTCCAGCTCTCACATCTGACCATTCTCTCCATTCATCACCCGTCCCATATTTTGGGTTAGATTGGAGAACAGCAGACTGAGGGGGCAGGAGGCCATGGTGGAGGAAGATGGAGGATGCAGAGAAGTTGGTGCTCCCCTGGACTTCTGGAAGTGGGGGCATCAGATGCTCGGACTTGCTCACTGGGGATCATGGCCTACACTCCCACCATCATTGCTCTCCAGGATGATCACAGTAGTCTCCTAACACATCTCCCCGCTGCCTCTCTGTTGCAACCGTTTAAAAGCATAATCACATCACTTCTCAGCTCCCACTTCAAACCCTCCAGAGGGTCCCCCTCTCGCTTGGCTTACAAGTCCTTCTCTCTCCTGGGCTTTTGGGGCCTCCTGGTCCACAGGTCATCTCCAACATCTTCTCCTACCTCTCACCCCTCCATTCTCTACTCCAAGCCACACTGGTTCCTGCCATCATAACAGCCTCACCAAGTATGCTCCTACCCCAGGGCCTTTGCACTTGCTGTTCCCTCTGCTTTTGTCTCCTCTCTTCCATTGTACTTTCTTCTCACCCTTGGGTCTTGGCTCACCTGGTACCTCCCTGACCATCTCCTCTAACCTAGCCCCCTCACTCAGATCACCCTTCTTTTTTCAATGAGCTATATTATGCATACTATACAACTCACCCTTTTGAGTTATACAATTCGGTGGCTTATAGGATATTCACAGGGTTGTGCAACTATCACCATGACCTAATTCCAGAGTAGGTGATATAGTAGGTTTCATCGCTCCAAAAAAGAAACACTGCACCCATTAGAAGTCACTCTTCGTTCTCCCCTCCCCTCAGCCCTTGGCAACCACTGTCTATTCCTATTGATTTACCTTTTCTGGACATCCCATGGAAATAGAGTCAAACAATATGTGGCCTTTGGTGTCTGGCTTCTTTCACTTAGCACAGCGGCCTGGAGGTCCTGCCACATTATAGCATGATTTAATGCTTCATTCCTTTAATGGCTGAATATGTTCCCAGCACGAGCACACCACATGTTGTTTATCCATTCATCAGTCAATGGACATTTGGGTTGGCTCCACTTTTTGACTGTTCTGAATAATGCTACTATGAACAATAGTGGGTAAGTTTATATGTGAACATATGTTTTAAATGCTTTGGGGGTATTTTGCGGGGTCACATAGTAACTCTGTTTAGCCTTTCAAGGAACTGCCAGACTAGTTTCCAAAGCAGCTGCACCATTTCACATTCCCACGGAAACACGCACACCTCAGTTTCTCCAGCACGTGTCCCCACCCCCCCCCCTTTTTTTTTTTAAATGAGGCTCATCTCAGTGGTGGGAGTCCCGCACTGTGGTTTGATTTACGTTTCCCCAGTGACTAATGGCACTGGGCTTCTTCTCACACATTCTCTGGCCACCTGTGTCTCTTCTTTGGCAAACGGTCCTTTCGTATCCCTTGTGCCCTTTTAAATTGGGTTATTTTTTTAATTTATTATTGTTGAGTGGTATCTTCTTTATTTTCTTACCATACTCCTCGCTCTCTGCCATGTTTGTGGGTGTGTTTTTTTTCTTTTCTATCTCTCCTTATTCGTATGTATGCCCAGTGAGGTCAAGGACCTTGTCCGCCCTGTTCACTGCTGTGTCTCCGGCTTCATAGTTACTATTCGGTGAAGGAAGGAAGGAATCCACAGGGAAAAGAAGAGTCGGGATGATTCACTTACTCGTTCAGCAGACAGAGAGCTTTCTGCAGCCCCGTGGTTCTGGTCGTTCAAAGACGACACCATGGGTCCTGGGTGTAGAACCTCCAAGAGGCCCCTCTGAGCACCGGCTCTACAGCATTGTGAGGCTCATTTTGTGATCATGACATACCTCTCCTTCACTAACAGTCCTCTCTCAGAGGGTGATGGGGAGGACAGGAGGAGTGCTCACATACCACTTAATACCCACTGAACGCTTAGCCACGGGCAGTGCCCAGTGCGGCTACAATGTAAGTTTGAATGGATTCGTTTATACTGCGTTACAAATTGTTACACACTTAGCTTCAAGCAGCACCAGTTATCAGCTCCCGGACTGGCAGGCCAGAAGTCAAGCATGGTGTAGCTGGTTCTCTGCTCAGGCATAGGGCTGAAATTTTGGTGTGGGTGAGGCTGCCTTCCTGTCGGGAGTGTCCAGGGAAGAATCTGGCTGAATTCAGGTCCTTGTGGTTGTGGGACTGAAGTCCCCGTTTCCTTGTTTACTGTCAGACAAGGTCCACTCTTAACTCCTAGAGGCTACCTTCATTCCTTGCCAGGAGGCCCCTCCCATCCTCAAAGCCAGCAACAGTCTCCCGTGCTTCGAGTCTCTTTTGTCAGGAAGACCCCTGTGTCTTAGAAGCCCCGTGTCTGCCAGATTAGGCCAGGCCACTAAGGAGAATTATTCTTCCTTAAAGTCAACAGTACTGTCTATCCCTCACTCAGTGGGAGGGGTTTATACAAGCGATAGGTCATCTTAGAGTTCTGTCTATCACAGTGAGCTATAACTGTTAGTAAATTCCCAGAGGAGTTGCTCTGCTCTGAGAGGTGATTCTGATCCATCACAAACTTCCCACCCCCAGGCGAGCTAGCATGTACCCCTGGGACATCCCCACAGGCCATGGCCTGGCCTCTGGCCACATGAGATAAGTCATTCTGAGCTGGCAAGAGGCAGGCAGGGGTCAGCGATGAGACCCTTCCTTCTACTGCCTTCTCCCGCCCAGCTGTGCTCTCCAGGCTCATCCTTTCTCTGTGGGCATGACAGGAAGTGTGAGATTGCCAAAACCCTGGTCCATGCTGGCTCAGACTTCCCGTATCCTTGTAGTACTGGGTTCTGGAGAGCTCTCCCACTCTTTTTTTTTTTTTTTTTTTTTTTTTTTTAATATATTTTATTGATTTTGTACAGAGAAGAAGGGAGAGAGATAGAGAGTTAGAAACATCGATGAGAGAGAGTCATCGATCAGCTGCCTCTTGCACACCCCCTACTGGGGATATGCCCGCAACCAACGTACATGCTCTTGACCGGAATCGAACCCGGGTCCCTTCAGTCCCCAAGCCGACGCTCTATCCATTGAGCCAAACCGGTTTCGGTGCTCTCCCACTCTTAGAGAGATGACCGCCTCCATCACCTGGTCCCCCACTTCTGCTCTCATCCCCCTGCAGTCCATTCTCTACTCAGCAACCAAATGGTCCTGTAAGCAAACTAAGCCAAATCATGCCCCTACTCTTCTTCAAACCCCATGGCGCCCACCTTACTGAGACAAAGCCAACGTCCTCACAGCTGCCTTCAAGGCCCAGCACGGTCTGGCCTCAACCTCTGCTCCCTCCAATCCAGCCACGCTGGCCTCTGTGCTGTTATTTGAACACACCAGATGTGATCCAACTTCAAGGCCTCTGGACTTGTTCTTTCTAGTGGAGGCTCCTCTTCCAGATATCCATGTGGCTTTCTCTCTCACCACCTTCCGGTCTTTGGTCAAATGTCTCCTCAGGGAAGCCTGCCTTACCCTCTCCACTTAACATCGTACCCCATGCCCTACACATGTTGCCCTCTTCCCTGCTTCATCAAAGAGTGATGAGTACTATGGTTTCTGCAGGCGACCTGGCGAACCTCCCTTGGACCTGGGCAGCATCCCCTGGTTGGGTCACGCCTTGGAGTTTGGAAAAGATGCTGCCAGCTTCCTCACTAGGATGAAGGAGAAACATGGGGATATCTTTACTGTAAGTATCCCTTGGGAGGAAAGGGGATGAGCAGCTGGTCCTGTCATGCCTGATGTTTACTGATTCCTCCAACATCCCTCCATCCTAACTCACTCATCCAGCATCCATCCGGTGGTCCCACCAACTTCCTATCCATATGTCTCTCCAACTGTACACCCAATGGTTATCTAACATCCTGCCCTTCGTTATCCCTCTAGTATCTTCCCAACATTGAGCTATGCAGTCATTCAGTGTCTAGCCATGCTTGTACATCGATCTAACCGACTTCTACCCATTCATCTCTCCAACATCCACCCATCCATATGACATCTCTCCTTCTGCTTATCTGCCCAATACCTAAGTAGCACCCTCCATACTAATAGCCACCCAACACTCATTCAATATTCCATTTCCATTAAACCTCCATCTATCCACCCATCCATCCATTTTTTTATACTAGCATACCTCTCTAACATCTATCTAGCTTTCATTTGTATATTTAATTTGCATTAACTTTCATTCTTCCACTTATCTACCCATGTTTCTATCTATCTACCACTATTCACCCAACATTCTGTTATTTATCCATTCCATATGCATCGATTTATATATCCATCTATTCATCCATTCAACCTCCAAACAACCATCACCCATCCATCCACCTTCCATGTGTCCTTCCAACTTCCTCTATTCATCCAACATTCATCCTTCAATCCTTTTACCCAATATCCAAGTAGCATCCTGCCAGACATGTACCCAACATTCATCCCTACATTTAGTTTCCAACCAACTTCTAGCCACCTAGCCATCTTTCCACCCAGCATTCAGTGGTCTATCTTACCATTTCTTCCCCTTCTAACAATGCACCCAATAGCATTATTTTCTCAAATATCTTATATCCCTGTATCTTGTAAGGGAGTTTGATTAATGTGACTCACAGACCATATATTGAAAATAGGGCCAAGGCTGTTAGACTTGTGTGATCCCTGCATAGGCATTTGAGGGGAAACGCCCTCACCTTGGTTTCTGCAGAATCAGAGCTCTCCAGTGCTGCTGCCTTTCTTTCCGGGGCAGCGTGTCACATACAGAGCTCTGTCTCCCAAAGAAGTGAGTCTCGCTTCACATCCGCTAGCATCTACCCAACAGCATCCACATGTCCATCCTTCTTCTCCTTCTCCTTCTCCCTCACTCCTTCCCTCCCTTCCTTCCTTATTTCCTTCCATCATTCATGTGTCCATCTGTCTATCCACCCACCCATTTATAATCTATCCATTAGCATTTATTCATCCATATCTTTCTGTCCATCTATCCATCCATCCATTTATCCATCCATCTGTCTATAATGCACACACACCCATCTGCTGTCTTCTGTGGGCAGACTCCCTCCTGTCTGCTGGAGACAGGACAATAACCACGATAACCATGGCACTTGCTTAAGAGTGAGGTGGTTAAGAGAATAACCTTTGGCCGAAACTGGTTTGGCTCAGTGGATAGAGCGTCGGCCTGTGGACTGGAAGGTTCTGGGTTCGATTCCGGTCAAGGGCATGTATCTTGGTTGCGGGTACATTCCTAGTAGGGGGTGTGCAGGAGGCAGCTGATCGATGATTCTCTCTTATCGATGTTTCTAACTCTCTATCCCTCTCTCTTCCTCTCTGAAAAACCAATAAAATATATTAAAAAATAAAAAGGGAGAGAGAGAATCACGGTTCAAAAAAACAAAACAAAAACATAATTCCAGTTATAGCTCTGCCACTTCTCAGCTGTGTGATCCTGGGCACAGTATGTGCCTTCTCACTTTCAGCTATAAATTGGTGAATGATGGTCTCTACCTCACAGGATGGTCGTGAGCGTAGATGAAAGACCATTGTCCATTAAGTGCCTGGTGGGGCCAGTGCGCGGCACAGGGTAAGGCCTTCATCACTGAGCTCTGCTGTTGTCCATAGAGGTTCTCACTGTAACCTGCCACTTCCCAGGTGCTGGTGGGGGGCAGGTACGTCACTGTCCTCCTGGACCCACGCTCCTACGACGCAGTGGTGTGGGAGCCCCGCCCCAGGCTGGATTTCCACGCCTACGCCGTCTTCCTCATGGAGAGGATGTTCGATGTGCAGCTTCCGCACTACAACCCCAGCCAGGAGAAGGCCAAGATGAAACCGTGAGTGGCCAGAGACAGCACCTGCGTGCGGGCCGGGGTGGGTGACCTGTTCCTACCTGCTTGTCTCCAGACAGGTGTCCAGTAAAGATATTTTGTTTTGAGAAAATAAACAGAAACAAACAAACAACAACAACAAAAAAAAAACTCCTACTTCTTAGGATTCAGCTCTGATTTGAGTAGAAGGAGACCAGAGTGTGGGTCGGTCCGATCTAGATTCAAATCCCAGCTCTACCCCTTCCTAGCCTTGTGACATTGGACAAGTCACTCCCCCTCTCTGAGCCTGTTTCCACATCTGGAAAATGAAGAGAGATGGGTGGGGTGGCTAATATTTCTGAGTCAGCATTCTGTGCCAGGCATTGTGCATGATCTCATTGGTCTTCTATGCTAGAGGGTGAGTAACTTACAGCCCCATTTTACAGATGAGGACCCTGGGGCTCAGAGAAGTGACTTGCCCTGGGTCACACAGCTAGGACAGGGGGCAGGTCCTGAAACATAGGAACACTTACATCAATAAGGGGACGTGTGAGCACGTGTACTCAGTATGCATTCTGCACACATCTGAGGACCAGCGAAGCACTGCTCACCATCCTAGATGCAGAGGATGCGGAATGATGTTAACCACCCTCTGAGGACACCTCCACATGCCGGGTGTTTGGTAGGCACATTTCCATAAAAGGGAGGTACTTTGTCATTTTACAGCTAAGGAATCTGAGGCTCAGAGAAGTGAAGTGACTTGCCTACAGTCCACTGCTAGGAAGTGGCAGAGCTGAGATTTGAACCCCAGCCTCCAGGTTCCACAGCCCATTCTCCTCCACCCAACACATTGAGGAAATTAGACTCTGCCTCCGTCCCTAAAGAGTCACGCAGTTCGGTGGCAGTCTTTAGTGATGTGTCTCCAGGAAAAGTAATCTCTTGGTAAAATATCTAGAAGGCTGGATTTTGCAAGACTGCTGACGCTGAGGAGAGGCCAGCAACACAAGTGAGCAATGATGAGAAGCCAGGCCCTGTCTGACCTTGGCTTTGTGTGACAGCTGCTGGGAGTGTTTCTGAGCCTGCGAGTCAGGGTCCCACCATGTCAGGGAGACCATGAGAGTTCATTGCATCCTGCCCAGGAAGGACCCCCGTTTCCTCCAGTGCCTGCCCCAAAGAGTTTCTGGGAATTCCTCACAAGTTGGCATGATGTCTTCGGGTGTGGCTGCCACATCCTGTTGAAGGCTATTTTTTCTGTCAAGGGCTAGGGCCTGGAATGGGGTCATGGGATCAAGGCCAAGGTCAATCACAGGCCCCTATTTATTGAGCACGTGTTCTCTCTTAAGCCCTTTACACACATTATCTCACATGGGTCATGTCTACTGTTATTCCAACAATGGTCCAATTGAACATTCAAAAGCTTTTACTACCTGAAACCCCTCTGGAATTTTCACTCTTGAGAATATCCAACAGTCTAGGGGTTTTTACTCAGCCTAAAGGTGGAACTTATCCAAGTTTGTGTGCCCCGAGGAGGGGCCGCCGTGCTTAGGAGTTCAGATTCTGGAGTTGGGCAGGTCAGGGTTTCAATCCCAGCTGTAGCACTTGCTGGTCGGGTAACCTTGGCAAGTCACTTCCCTCTGTGTCCCTGAGTTTCTCTGCCTGTAAAATGGGTGTCATAATAGTAACCATTATCCCTGGAGTTATCACAAGAAGAAATGAGATCATTGCTTAGCACAATAAATAGTATTGGTCGGCATTGTTAATGATGATAGTAATAATATCTTGTTTAAAGCAATCTTCAAAAGCCCCCATTGCCTACAAGGACCTGGAGCCTGGGACCCTGAGGTTGGGGGAGGAAGGTGCTCGTGTGTGGCTGTTCCCTGTAGGAAGCTGAGCTCTCATTTCTTTGTTCCCTGCCTCAGGACTCTCCTCCACAGAGACCTGCAGGCGCTCACGGATGCCATGTACGCCAACCTGCGCACCGTCCTGCTGGGCGACACCGCAGAAGCAGGCAGTGGCTGGCATGAGATGGGTCTCCTTGATTTATCCTATAGCTTCCTGCTCAGGTGAGCCCGGGCAGCCCCCTCTCCTACACCCTCAAGTGTGACCTTTGGTGTGTGAGGGATCCACATTTCCCTGGAGTGGTGAAGACACCATCAAGGCTGTGACTGGTCTGCGCAATGCTGGTTCGCCTCGGCACGCCCTGTCATTGCGGAGCAGACAGGTCCAGAAAGGGGCAGCTAAAACCACCCAGCAAGTTCTCAGCAAGGCAACGCCCAGGTCTCCTGCTTCTGCCCTCTGTGTCCGTGTGTGGGCAGAGAAGTCAGAGAGGAAGCAGTGGCCTTGAAGGGGGGATGTGTGTGATGGCAGCTGGTTCTGTGTAGACCCATGGTAACAGCAGGCACAGATGTAAGCAGACCCCTTTATCTGTAGGACCCAAAGCCGGGCTGGAGTGCCTACCTCCTTGCCTGGCAGCCTCGGGCCTTTTCAACGCCACCTGGAGCCCTGAAATAGAAAGGGATGATGAGTTGGATGACAGACACTGATATGGAGGTTCCCATGGCCCCCAACCATGAGATGCCACCCCTTACCTCTTCCTATGCAGGGCCCTGCCTCACTCAGAGTCACATCTAAGCTCTTACCCTGCAGGATCATCTCCCAGCCCTTCGGCTCTCCTCCCCTACTGCTGTCCCCATCCTTCTCCTCCCTGTCATCTCACCGGCCCCTTTGCTGCCCCTTGAACTGTCACCTTGAGGCGTAACTGTCACCTCAAGGCCTTTGAAGTTCCTGTTCCCTTGCCCAAGAGTGTTGTTCCCTATGTATCTGCATGGCTCCCGCCTCACCTCATTCAAGTCTCATCTTAAGGGTCACCTCCTTCAGAGAAGCTGTGTCTGACACCCCATTTACTATGACCCTCTGTTATTTTCTAGCCCCATGCCAGCTTTTTCTCTATAGCTCCTAGCGCCACCTATAGGTAATGTATATTTTCACAATTTAATTATCACCTGTCTTTAGCCAGGTAATGTTATTTTTATGTGGAGGTACCTTAGGAAGGGCCCGCACTTCCACAGTGTGAAACCTTTCGACCTTCTTGGTGTGTTTGTATTTTTATTGCCTATTTTGGTTGAAATATATGGACAGGGAAAAGGCTCTACTGCTTTAAGAAAAACCCCCGTGCACGGGGGATGACAAATGGCGACAGTTGTTTACAGTGTCACAGGGACCACAGGCCTGGTGAGAACCGTCCGACCCTGCCAGCTCATTGCTGTCTGAAAGGGGAGGCCATGGCTCAACTCCTGCCAGGCCCAACTGGGGCTCGGGGGCCAGATCCTGCCCTTTTTCAAATTGAGATGAGGGAGAAATCCAGCTTTTGTGTGAATTTCCCCAAATGTGTAAATATACATTCAGTTTGTTTTTAGGAAAACTCCGTTGACCACACAAAACCTGTTTGGGACCGAATCCAGTGTGCAAGCCGCCCTTTACAGCACCTGCCCTAGGAAACGGGGTGCGGGTCTGGGCCCTCACGGGTCTGGGGGAGAAGGGAGAGAGGATTCCTTCGGTGCTGACGCGAGGGCATGAGCAGGCCAGCGGGCTGGACTCTGGGGGAGGTTTGTCTTCTCTCAGTCAATGGGGTGGGCAGGCCGTGAGCCCTCCATCTCTGCCACGTGGAGGCCGAGCCTGGATGAGGGGAGGTGGAGGGATGCAGGGCAAAGGGGTACAGCAGCCCGATGACCCTGTAATAGTCTCCCAAGACCAGTGTTGTCAGCATTAAATTCTAACTATCCACCCATTCACCCACCTACCCTCCTGTCTGCTCCTCTGTCCATCCATCCACCCTGCCTCCCATCCAACCATCCATCCATTCATCAAACATTGATTGGGGCCTACTATGTGCCTGCACTGTGCAGACAAGGGACAGAGTCTGGGCTAGACAGGCCTCTCTCTCAGCCCGCAGCCTCCCTCATTCCTGCATCACCCTCCTTCTCAGGAAAATCCCCCTCCCAGGAGACCCAGGGACTGGGAGGAGTTCAAGGGGGAGCACTGGGGCTTCAGTCCTGTCTCTCTGCAGAGACCTCGGCCGGCCCCTCTCACCACGTGGAAAAAGCGAAAACCTGTGGCTTTTCTCCTGGGACTGAGGCCCGTGAGCCTGGGGCTGGGGCCGGGCTCCTGGAGCATTCAGAGTGGCTGGTGGTGAAAACGTTTCCTCAGGAAGCGTTCTACAGGCGTGTGCATGTGCGTGTGTGTGTGTGGTGTGTATTTGTATGTATGTCTGTGGTATAGGTGAGGTATATGTGTGGTGTGTGTATATGTGTGTATGTGTGTATGAGTGTGTGTACATGTATACATATATGAGGGTGCACACATGCTCCCGTGGCTCATCCTTCACCACACCTACCTCCCTGTCCTTCTCCTGTCGGACTCCTCAGTCTCCTTCTCCTGGTTGCAGCCCCCTCCTCCGCCTGCGTGACCAGCCAGCTCCCACCCTGACCCCTCACACTCCAGCTCTAGCGCCCGGATCAGTGACTCCTGGCAGCTCTGACCAGGCTGAGTTGCTCCCTCAGCTCCGGGCCTGTGCCCAGGCTGTGTGCTCTGCCTGAACCCCTTCCCCCTCTTCTTCCCCTGCTCATCCTGCAGGTCTCAGCTCAGACCCTGCCTTCCTCTCCTGTCTGTGGCTCCATCGTGCCTCAGGGTCCCCTCACTCACTCTGCTGTGGCCTCACCAGCCTCCTTGCTGCTCCTCAACACGCCCATCTCCTTCCTGCCTCGGGTCGTTGGCACCCACTGTTCCCTCTGCCTCGACCACCTCCCTCTGCGCTTTTCTGGCTGGCTGATCCCACCCTTCAGGCTTCAGCATGATGGTGAGCCCGTATACCTCTGAGTGCAGCTGACACAGTACTTGTTCACCCATTTCTCTTGCCTATTGTCTGCACCTGTGCTAGAGCGTCTGCTCTATGAGGACTTAGGGTTTTGTCTGTTCACAGGGACTCCCTGGCCTAGCACAGTGGGGGATACAGTGGGAAAAGTGGGTGCTCCGTGGGGGTGTGAATGGAGGAAAGCTCGGAGGCTCTGTGGGAGGGTTTGGCCGGGAGTGGCCGAGGAGGCCCCTGATCTGCTGTTTGCTGCCCGCAGAGCCGGCTACCTGACTCTGTACGGAGTCGAGGCCCTGCCACGTACCGAGCAGAGCCAGGCCCAGGACCGTGCCCACTCGGCCGACGTCTTCCACACCTTCCGCCAGCTCGACCTGCTGCTCCCCAGACTGGCACGAGGCTCCCTGTCAGTGGGTAAGCACCGTGGGGACCCTGGTGGGCGGGGGGGCAGACTGAGGGACCCAGAGGGGCGTCCAAGCTCAAGGTGGAGGATCTCACTTGTAAGGTGGGGAGAAGAGTAAGACCTTCCGAAGCAGAAGGTGGCTATCAGGACTGGCTGAGGTAATACGGAAAAAAACACACACTGATTTTTTAGCTCTACCTACTAGGTACCAGGTAAGATAAGCATGTCTCATTCAGTGCTCAGAACAGCGCATCACTTCATTTCCTTTATTTATATATTGTCAGAAACCAAACTTTAACACATCAGATTGTTTAAATTAAGAAACATTCTCTGGTTAGCAATGCATAGATATAGACAGTAAAAAGTAATAATATTCACTCTTCCAAGCCCAACTTCCTAGGAATCAATTTTAACATGATGATGTATATCCCTTCACAGTATTGTGTAAGTATGTTCTCTTTTGCAAATAGAGACAGATATTCGTATCGTGTGTGTGTGTGTGTGTGTTTACAAAAAGATTATGCCCATTATTTGCAACTCATCTTTTTAACCTAACAATACAGATACATTTCCCTTTTCAATGCAAGCATCTTCTAGGTTTTAGCCAATGAAATTAGATAAGAGAAGTCAGTCACCAATATAAGAATTAAGACCATCCCTATTTGCAAATGAGCAGACACTAGATCTGGAGAACCTCAGGAAATTCATAGTAAGACTAACTGAAGCAAAACAACCAACCAACCAACAAAAACAACAACAAGAGAAGAGTCCAGCAAAGTAGAAAGGTAAAAAAATTAACAAAAAATACAGATACAGTTCCAGCCCTTAACATCACTATTTAGACACCACGCCCGCAGCGGGCTGTTATAATCGTTTCTGTGTGTGTGTGTTTGTGTGTGTGTGTGTGTGAGTGAGTGTGTGTGTGTGTTACAATATTTCATTGTACTGGTATCTCTTCTGCCATCTGGTGATTTTATTTCTCGATGATAGTTTCCTGGAAGTGGGATTGCCAGGTCAAAGGGCATATCCATTAAAATGTTTGTTAGTGAGTAGCACATCATTTCCAAAAGATGGAGCAATTTCTCCGCTTACCCAGAGGGAAGGAGCCCACCAGATGTTATCAGTCTTTTCACTTGTTTGCCAATCTGATGGGCAGTTTGTTTTAATTTAGATTTTCCCACAATTTTGTCAACATGCACTTGTCATCCTTTAAGTCCTTGCCAATCTGATGGGTGAGAAAGGGCTTCTGGCTTTCTAGGCATTTTCCTGTTGGCTGAGATGAAACATGTTTCTGTGTTTCACCAGCCAGTTGCTTTTCCTCTGAGTTGCCTGTTCATGTCTAAACATCTCTTTAGGGGCAAATCCTGATCTTATTGACTCGTGCCATCAATGTCGGAAGTTTGGTACCATTATACCCTTTTGCAGGAAAGGAAATTGAGGCTCGGAGAGGTCCCCACACAGCTGATAGGTGGCAGAGCCAGCAAAATGGAAACTTGGTCAGTCTGCAAAATGCTGTGCATCAAGTATCTGACACATCCCAGTGCCCACTGCTTCTCCAGAGAAGAGTGGCTTCTCCACTGCCCTTCCCGCCATGCTGGCACTCCATGGGAGTCTGGGTAGAAGCAGAGGAGGACCCTTCTGACATTGACATTCTGGGAGCAGCCGGGAGGTGAGGGAGGGGCGGGGGTGGGGACGGGGCTGGCTGGTTATAGGAAGGCTGCAGTTTCCAGTGTAGGCAGCAGGTGGCAACATTGGGAAAGGTTTCTCAGCTCCAGGCTGGAGGCTGGGGGGGAGAGGAGGGGCAAACCTGTCCCTATCAAAATATAAAATGCACATTATTTTAATCCCGAACTTCCACTGCTAGGAATTATCCCACAGACATGCTCGCACATGTCTACAGGCACACCAAGACCAGTCATTGCCATGCAGCTTATAATGGCAAATGCTAGAAACAACCTAAATGTCCTAAATGCCCACCAGTAGGGGCTGATGAAATGAATTATGCTTTCCCATAAAGGAAAACCAGGGGCCATAGAACAGAAAGGGATGCACGCTAGAGGATTAACTCCGCTATTATGACAAAAGTTCGGGACAGCGGGTATATTGTGCTTTTTACCTTTGTTCGGCTTTATGGAGTTACAATTGACACACAGTACTGTGTGAGTTTAGGGTGTATTGCATGACTTGACCTATATGTTTTGTGAAACGATGAACACAGTAAGTTTAGTTGACATTCATGTTTTCTAAAAATGTGAGAACATGTATAGTTTTTTGTTTCTGGGCAGGCTGAGATGGGATGGAGAGAAACTTACTTTTATAGTATACACATTTGGACTTCTAGAATTTCTTTTTTTCTTATTATTTTTTTACCACGTGCATGCATTACTCCTCTGCTTTAAAAAATATATAAACATATTTTAAAAGAAAATTGACCCTCTTGGGGACTTTACTTCATTGAGTCTGGTATTTCTCTTAAGTAAGGCAGTGGGGGCAGGGGGCAGTTAAACAGAGTCCTATTAAGCTAAGCAAAAGGTTCCTTTCTAGAACATTCATTTTACTGGATTATTGGGGGAGGTTGCTATTTTATTTGAAAATTTTTTCGGGGTAGACATTTCGGGGTAGACAGAGGATCTAATAAAAAACCTAATTCATGTTAAAGGGAAAATGCAGACTTTAAAGGCCTGTCTCCCTAAGGGGGTCCCTCTGTGCCCCCCAAGTCTCTAGGGACAGAGGCACTTCTGAGGACCCTCTTTTTACAGATGGAAAGATCGAGGTCCAGAGGTGGACAGGGCCTCAGCCAATTCCACAGAGCGTGGGAGGTCTGGGATTCGAACCTGCTTCTCCTTGGAGAAATGTCGATTCAAGTTCTTGGTCCATTTTTGGATTTGGTATTGTTTGGGTTTTTGTTGTTGTTGAGTTTGTAAGAGATTTTTAATATATATTCTGGGTGCTAGAGCACTATCAGATAGATGATTTGCAAATGTTTTCTCATGTTGTCTTTTCACACTGTGTGGCTTTGTAAAATCAACCTTAAAAGCAGTGTTGACCATGATATTTAAGGTCTGCAATTGTGCTGTCCAACCTCAAAGGATGCCACCATTTCTAAATCTGTGCTGAGCTGTGCCTGCTTTTTGGAACCATTTCCTCAAATGACTCCTACAGGCATCCAGAACCAGCATCCACTGAGGTGGCTGCGAGCTTCCTGCGCCCTGCGCTCACCTATTTCAAATCTCTGCACCCCAGCGAGTCTGACAAGGCTGGTCTGTGGTGGGACCTGGGCATGAGATTTAAAAGCTCCCAAGTGACACTCCAGTGCCTGAAAAGTTGGGAGACACAGGAAAATATCGTATCCCAGATGAACAACTGGGCTCACTGCATGTTATTTGAAAATGTAATTAATATACTTTAAAAAATTAAGTTAGCCTAAATCGAACACCCTTTTTAAAAATATAATTTTTAATTGAATTTTTACAGAGAGGAAGGGAGAGGGATAGAGAATTAGAAACATCGATGAGAGAGAAATCGATCAGCTGCCTCCTGTACACTTCCTTCTAGTACATGTCCTTGACTGGAATCGAATCTGGGACCCTTGAGTCCACAGACCAAAGCTCCATCCACTGAGCCAAACCGGTTAGGGCTGAGACACCCTTCTAAACGCCTGTGTACGCAGCCTGCTCAGGGCCAGTCACTGCACAGGTCTTCTAACACTGCTTTGTGGTTCAGAAAACTCAATGAGAGAGTTCCTAGAACTTTGGAATTTTGGAACAATCCAAAGCAACTTCCACTCTTCCAAGGGGTGATTTTGGCAAAGCAGAATCTTATACTTGTGTAAATATAGCATCTTGTAGCATTAACAGAATATTTACATAATAAACACTTGGCTTTATTCCCTCAACAGTCTGCCCTGTGGGCCCATCGCCTTGCTTTACCAGAGCATAACACACCATTGTATAATATATTTGATAGTGATTGCAAACAAGTGATTTGTGGGCCAAAGTTGACTTTTCAAGATGCTTGTGTGACCCGGCACAGTCACACAAAACTTCTTGCTTATATGCTGACCATAAAAAACATGAGAAGATTGCACATGAACACCTGGATTTTCATCTTCTTCTGAAATCTAGGCTCTCTGCTAGGGACAGACTGGGGAGGGGTGAGCATGGGGAGGGGGCACTCTGGTGGTGGAGCTGAGCAGAGGCTGCCCCTGACCCCCTGTTCCCCGTAGCGCCTTCCTGACCCTCCTCCCCTGCCTTCCCTGGAGGAAGTTACATTTGAGACTTCAGACCAATCTGTCCCCTCCTGATGGTAGTTAGCTGGTTTCCGGTGTCTCCGAATGAAGGGTGCTGAGTCTGGGGAATGCTGCTTGGTGTTTCACGTTCGTTCCCCTGCTGTGTCAGGAACCACCATTCACTTAGCACATATTTATGGAGTTGCTGGGGACACAGAGGTGAATCAGACAGACCAGGCCCCTTGCCCCTGTTGGCTGCGGGTGAGGTAAACAATAAGTGAACATCTAAAGGGCTTCCCTGTGGCCACTTTCCCACAGGAACTCCTACCCCACGGAGTGCCACCCAGAAGACCCGTGGCCTCATGGGAGGTCAGGGCTGGGTGGCCCTGGGCTGGGGTGCATCTGTAACGCCCATCCCTGCGCTCTCTCCCTGCAGGGGACAAGGACCACGCAAGCAAAGTCAAAGGTCGCCTGTGGAAGCTGCTGTCCCCAGCCAGGCTGGCCACCCGGGCCCAGCGGAGCGCCTGGCTGGAGAGTTACCTGCTGCACCTGCGGGAGACGGGCGTGTCGGAGGAGATGCAGGCACGGGCTCTGGTGCTGCAGCTCTGGGCCACACAGGTGGGCGTGGCGCACGAGTGGGAGCACGCAGGTGTGCGTGTGTGTTTGTGTGACTATGAGTCTGTGCAGGCTTATGGGTGTGCCTTTGTGAGTGTGCACCAATATGAGTGGGGCTTGTGCACACACTCCCAGCTCCCTGATGCTCTAACTGTGAAACAATATCGTGAACATGGTCATTCATGAAGCAGAGTGAGGAGGGGAGTGGACTGGGGGACGAGGTCACAAAGGTCCTGATAAGTAAAGAATTGGGTTTTTCTCTGGGTGAGCTGGGAGCCCTGGGAGGTTCTGAGCGAAGGAGGACAGGACCTGAGAGCAGGGGCAGCAGGAGGGACACAGTGAGGAGAGCCTGGTGGCAGGACCCGGTGGGGGCTGTGGAAGTGATGAGGATTCTAGAAACCAAAGGAACACAGCACCAACGCATTTAGTGATGGAACAGGTATTGGGGTGAGAGGAAGCCTGGCTCCCGCCCTCCCCCAGTCCCAGGGCCCCCCTCCTTCTCTTGGCCCCACCTCAGTGATGACAGTTGCACAGGCTGACATTTCTGGGTAATTCCTATCCCATCGACTCTCAACTTATTTTTAGTTTTGTCTCAGAGCCATTAACCGTCCTTGGAGGCAGAGGCTGGCAAGTGGGGGCCCCATTAGTGCCTAATAACATATTTATGGGCAGAGATTGGAGCTACAAACCATTCCCAGAATCCCTTGTGGAAATGACCTCGGTCAGCAGAACTGGACGCTGCCCTTGAGTGACAGGCAGCCCGGGGAACAGCTTTCGTCAGGGCCGAGAAAACGGGGCAGGGGTTGGGGACAGGATATCCCCTGAGGTTGAGTTATTGCAGCATCCAAAATTCAGGCAGGTGGGAAGACCCTTCGAGAACACACGTCTGGAGGGCAGGGACAAGGCACTGTGTAGCCCAGTGGTTTCAGGCACTGCGACTACCCTGGCAGGCGAGCTGCTTAACCCTTGGTGCCTGAGTTTACTCATCCTTAAGATGGAGATGACAGTACCTTCCTCAAGGTCGTGATGAGGGAGTGATACATGTGAGACCTGAACTGTGCTTGGCCGGTAACTAGAGCTCAATAAACGTAGTCCACAAATATTCAGTGAGGGCCCACTGTGTGCCAGGCACCCTTCTAGAAGCTGGGGGTAGAGCAGTGAGCAGAACCAAGACCCCTGCCCTTATAGAGCTGACATTCTGGTGGAAGAAGACAAACTGTTAATAAACAAGTATGCAAATGTACCGGAGGGCATGAGTCCTGTGGAGAAACAAAAGAACCGGGGAAGGGATTAGCAGAAGGGAGTAAGGAGGGTCTGCTCTGCAAAGGATGGTTGAGAAAGGCCTTACCAAGAAGGTAACACCTGAGCGGAAACTGGAAGGACGTGAGGAAGCGAGTCATGTGGATGTAGTATAGAATGGGGCATCCCGGCAAGGGGACAGCATGTGCAAAGGCCCTGAGGTGGGGATGTAGGTGATGTGCCAGATGGCTCAGGGCCCTGTAGGCCATGGGGAGGACTTTGGCTTTTACTCTGAGCTGAGGAGCAGCATGGCCTGTCTTCTGCGTTCCAGGGGTCATTCTGGTTGCATTGCTGAGAAACTGTAGAGGCAGGAAGTGGAGGCAGGGAGACCAGAGAGGAGGCAACTGCGATGTCCAGGCAGGAGAAGATGATGTGAGACCAGAGTGCCGGGGGAGAGTGATGTGCTGTTGGCTGGGACATTGGGAGTGGGTATAACCAAGGATGGCTCCAGGTTTGGGCCTGAGTGGTGGGAAGAATGAAGTTGCCATAAACAGGTAAAGTAGGTGGTAGAAGGAACAAGTTTTGGTGGAGAAAACCAGGGGTTTGGCTTTGAGTGTGCTGAGTTTGAAATGGAGAATTGTTGCCGGCTGGGGGTGGCTTACCTAGATTAAAGAGCTGGAGTTCATGGTTACAGTCTGGGCTGGAGACCCATTTGGGAGTTGTCAGTGTAGACATGGTGTTGAAACCACTGGGATCACTGAGGGTGTTGTTGGATGGGGATGGGGACTAAGCTCTGGGCCTCTCCAGTTTGGGGTGGACAAGATGAGGATGAGCCAGCAAAAGAGACAGAGGAGGAGTGGCCAGGGAGGGGCAGGACGGGGAGGGAGCGCCACCCAGAGGCCAGGTTGGAAAGTATTCCGAGCGATTGCTATTGTCAGGTCAGAATGGAGGTACAAGTGATCATTTCAGAAGCTATCAAACACTTTATTTACCACATGCCATGTGCCAGCCAGCCTGTTGAGAACTTTACAGACATTATCCTACAAAAGCTACATGAGTCCAGAACCCCAAAGCCTGGAGTCAGGCTGGTGGAGGGGTCGGTGGGAAATGCCCGCACCCAGGGACCGATAGGAGAAGCCGGTGGCCTGAGGTCCAAGCCCCGGCAGGGGAAGAGGCCAGCTCTAAGGGGTGTGAGTTGGGGTGGGCAGAGGAGAATCCCAGCCGGCCCGCAGGACCAGGCTCCCCTCAGCTCTGGGTCATGGACTTTGGCTTCAGATGTTAGTCTACAAGTGTCCTCTGGGGAAATGAGGCAAGTCCCGGCCAGAGAAACAGCAGCAAACTCAGAATCTCTGTGGTTGTGTGGTCACACAGACGTGTGCGCACACACACACTCGCACACTCACACACAGCCGTGCAGGTGGGTGAGGGTGGTCTTGCCACAGCTTTTTCCCGAACGCAGAGGTAACTGAGCAGCCTGCTGTTCCACTCCTGCCTTGTAATTAATGAGCTGTGGCCCCCATCTGACCATCCTGGCACATGGAAGTGGCCTTGGCATTGAGTTAACCCGGAGCTGAATTATTTATTGCCTGCTTCCCCCTGGCTATTTAAGTGATGAACTGACCTTGCTTGTCTCCACGGGCCCCTGAGGCGCTGGGAAACCTCAGAGAGAGTCCCAGGTCCTGGAGGAGGGGCCCGGGGGAGGGAGAAACCTCTCTGAGCACCTGCTCTGTGGCTGCTGGCGCCAGTCTCAGTGGGCCCCTGTGGCTGCCACAGGAGTGGGCATGCTGTTATGTGAGCAGAAGGGAAGTGCTGAGGCCCAGAGGAGAGAGTGACTTGTCTGGAGTGACAGGAAGTGGGGAGCTGGGATTTGAACCAAACTCTGCCTGGCCCCAGTTCAGGGCTCTGCCAGCCCACCTTCCTTCCGAGCTGACTTGCAGGCCCCAGCCCAAAGGAACACAGATGTTCAGTCGACAGATACCACGGAGCCTCTTCTACACGCTGGGCTAGGGAGTGCTTAGTTTCCTGTTCAGTAGAAGGTGTGATGATGGTGCGTACTCAATGGGGGAACTGGATAAGGGAACATGGTCCCTCCTTGGCACAGAAGTCATCACGGTAACCAAAGAAAAAGACAGAAAATCCGTTTCACCATCACTGATGCTTTGGTGCCTTTGTTTGCTGCCTTTTCTGTATGTCTTTTTTCTGTGGTTTAAGATCATGTAGTTTTTCAGTCCCACTTTTAATTTGACCTAACATTGTATCGTGAACATTTCTCCGTGTCCTTGCAGATCCCTGTAAAAATCATTCACTCGTGCATTGTTTTTAAGATCCAAGGAGCTGGAAAGACATACACAGTGAAAAGCCAGTTTCCCCCCTCCTTCTGCCCCCCTCCCAGCTGCTGTCCCAGAGGCAGCCTTGGTGGCCAGCTATCTGAGTCTCCTCCCTGAGCTGGTCTGTGCTCCTTCACCTGTGTCCCCTTTACACACACGCACCCACAGTGGCACTGAGCCCACCACGCTAGGACTCTGTGTCTCGCTGTTCGCTTGCTTCCGTGTGCCTTGGCTATAGTCCTATCGGTACCCACAGAGCCGGCCTCTTTGCAACAGCTTCCTGTTGGGATGATCACCATTGATCTCATTGATCTCCTATTGATAGACATTGAGGTTGCTTCCAATCTTGCTGTTACATCAGCACCATGGTAAATATCCCTGTGCAAATAGCTTTTTGTCCATGAGCCACTGTGTCTGTAATAGAATTACTGGCAAACATGACATTTAGTGACTGTGTAATATCCCATTGTCACTAACAATTGGGAAGGATGGTACACAAAAATCTTAGCCCGTTGAGGTTAGTTGGTATTCACTCATGCCTTATTTAAGGGTATCGCATGCACATGTAGCCACATGCTGCACACCTGAGTATTAAAATGTTCACCAAAGCTAAAGTCTTAGAGCAAGAAATTCCATCCATTTTCCTAATTATTTAGCTATTGAGACGTTTTAAATATTTTTTCAATCCATTAAAAGCTTTCATAACCATCATTGATCATTGCTACTTTGCTTTATATGTACGCCATACTCACATATTTGAAAGCAGATATTCAGATATTGTGTCAGTTTGCTGCACCTTACTTAACTCCCATGTCTGTGGGCCTGCTGGGCATCAGTTGGTCTTGACTGCACTCAGCTCTATTCCCTGTGTCTCCCATCCTCCTCTTGGGACCAGTGGGCTAGGCAGGCAAATAGAAACACAAAAAGTCTCTACACCTAGACCTACAACTGCTGTACTATTGATTCTGCCTCGTTCTATTGGCCAGAGCAAGTCACATGACTGAGCCCAAATTCAAGGAGTGGGGAAATACACTCTGCCTCTTTAATGGGAGGAAGTGCACAGTCACATGGTATGGAGCATGGATGTGAGAAGGGATAAGAATCGGGCCAAGGATGTAGCCAGCCTCAGACATTAACAGTAATTGACACACTTTACTATTGACACAGTTTACTATTAATTGACACACTTTACTATTATTGATGCTTTTTTTTTCTAATTAGCTATGAAAATTATTTATGTGACCTTATATCAGTGATTTTGCTCAAGATCAGGGATGCCAGAAATAGCCCTGAAGTAGCCATTGGGCTCTGCCAAACCACAGCCCAGTTCTTGGCCATGTCCTGAGGCTGAAGATAGACATAGGTCATGCCTAGATGTGCGGCAGGGGTGGGAACTCGGGCCTCCTGCCTCCTGCCCCTGGACCCGGGCTGTGCCCACGGCATAGACCCGCCAGCTTACACCCCGGGTTTGCTGTCTCGATGGTCCAACAGGAGCTCTTCTCATTGCAGGGGAACATGGGTCCAGCTGCCTTCTGGCTTCTGCTCTTCCTCCTCAAGAACCCCGAGGCCCTGGCTGCCGTCCGTGGAGAACTGGAGCATGTCCTCTCTCGAGCAGAGCAGCCTGTCTCACAGATGACCACCCTCCCACAGAAGGTTTTAGACAGCATGCCTGTGCTCGGTGAGATGGCCAGACCCTTCAGACAGCCCCAGGCTGGGTCATCATGGCCCGTGAGGCCCTCCCCCCCAGGAGCTCCTATCCTCCAGGGTCCATCAGTGTCCTCTGACCTGTTCCCCTGAGCCTCCTGTCTTCTTAGACGTGGCATTTCCATGCCTCAGTCTCAGCTTCTCAGAGGCTCAGTAGGAGGTTTCACATTGCAAATGGCAGAAAACCTAACTTAAACTGGCTGTAGCACACAAAGGACTTTATTTGGGGCAAGAAACTAAAACGTCCAGAAGTATTAGCTTCAGGTACAGGTGGATCCAGGTGCTCTAACAATGCCATCAGGATTCCGTCTTTCTCCATCTCGCAGCCTTGTTTTCTGCTGGGTTGGCTCAGAGGACAACCAGAAGCTCCAACCTGACCTGTTCTCGCCCCATGAGCATGTGCCTCTCTGCAGCATTCCTACCCAAAGTCCCAGGGGTGTGTCTCATTGGCTCTCATTGGGTCATATGCCTGTCTTGAACCAATCATAGGGTTGGAATGCTCTGATTGGCCAAACACAGCCCAATCCCAGGAGTTGGGAGTGGAATCAACAGTCCAATCCCTGAGAGCGGGAGATGGGTGGTCCCCAGAGGAAAATCAGAGTACTGTTTCCAGAAAGGGACTGATGATATGCTGGGCAGGCAGAAACAACCAATATTGATGGTCCTGCTCTCTCCCCAGCCTTCTCTGATATCTCTCTGGTTCCCACCTTCCCACATTGCTCCCTTGAGATTAGATCCAAATCCTCAAGTCTAAGATCTCTGAGGGACCACAGCAATAAGACCTCATGAACTTGCCTCTGGCCTCCCTGTGGACAAGTCCTGCTCCCTTTCTGAACCTCCTCACCTTCCTCTATAAAATGAGGGTTGGGGCGGCATTTGCGTGGGTACGAGGACAGCTGCTGACCTGCCTTGTCCCTGCCCTGTGCAGACAGCGTGCTGAGTGAGAGCCTCAGGCTCACAGCCGCTCCCTTCATCACCCGTGAGGTCGTGGTGGACATGTCCTTACCCATGGCAGACGGGCGGGAGTTCTCCCTGCGACGTGGTGACCGCCTCCTCCTCTTTCCATTGCTGAGTCCCCAGAAGGATCCAGAGATCTACACAGACCCAGAGGTAAATGCCGTACCAGAGACGGTGGGGAGAAAGTGGCTTCGGGACCAGCCAGATCTGAGCGGCATCCTGGCTCTGCCTTTTGCTGTGTGACCTTGTCACCGTTAGATTCCTGGTCAAGGCACATGCCTGGGTTACGGGTTAGGTCCCCAGTGTGGGGCGTGCAGGAGGGAGCCAATCAATGATTCTCTCTCATCATGTTTCCATCTCTTCCTCTCCCTCTCCCTTTCTCTCTGAAATCAATAAAAGTAAATAAATAGATAGATAGATAGTTGCCATATTTTTTTAACCAATCCTCTATTAGTTGCCCATTATGTTGTTTCCAGTTATTTCCTCTTAGAAACAAGCCTGCGATGCACATCCTCATAGCTTTTTCTCATGCGCACATGTATAGGGGTAGAATCAGAAACGGACCTTCTTCCTCTCCCAGGTATTTAAGTACAACCGATTCCTGAACGCTGATGGATCAGAGAAGAAAGACTTTTACAAGGATGGGAAGCGACTGAAGAATTACAACATGCCCTGGGGTGCTGGGCACAATCAGTGCCTGGGGAGGAATTATGCCACCAGCAGCATCAAACAGTGAGTTTGGGGACAGGGCGCTGGGGGAGGGGAGGCTCCTGCTCCATCTGGTTGGCACACACCCTCCTCTCCCCAGACCAAGAAGCTAAGCCAGAAGGAAGAGGCTTCAAAGGATATCCATGAGCTATGTCTTGCCCGCAAATCTTATTTATTTGTGTTTTTGGAATATGTGGTAACTTTTAAGAATCAGAAGAAGAGCGCACGTAAAAAGCCACCTTTCTGATTTCTTTTGAAATAATCAGATCTGTCAACAGGCTCTTCCCTCTGAGCCTAGTGCCCAGACACCAAACTCCCAGAATACCGAACACTGGACTTCCTGTGAGCTGACCTGGGTCTGTCTACAGCTGCTGTGCTGCTCAGACCCTCTCGGCAGAACTGGCCAAGGGTCATCATGCGCTTTGGTTATTTTAATGCCTCTTCATTCTCTTCCCTTCACCCCAAAAGCCGTGGCCCCCAGATCACAAACAGATTGGACCAGGGGTTAGGATATCCACCCAGTCCTGTCAGCCCCTGTGTCCGTGTAAGCAGGGTGACCTTCTGTGCTCCTATTTTTCTCAACTATAAAATTAGGGTACTGGTGTGAGAAATGGCTCACCTGTCCAAATTTCAAATGATGGACTTGGAAACAAGCATGGCAAAAGGGAGACTTAATAAAACTCTCAAGACCTGGCGCCATTTTACAGGATCACACGTGGGGCAGGCAACACAGCCTATTTATTTAGACCCTCCTCCGGTTCCTCATTGGCTGAGAACTATTTCATCACCTATTTCCTAATAGGTCACCTAGGTCTTGCCGTCTCCCATTGGGTTATTTTAAAAAATGGGCTGGGCCTTCTCTAGTCACCTCCACTCCCTTTGTCTAGGGGAGTATTCCTAAGACGTGTGCTATCAGCTACGTGTACAGCTCTCACCCTCTCTCCCCGCCCCCATATCCTGTTTGCTCTGGGGAAATTCAGCAGCTGCCTGGCTACATGCTGTTTCTTTTCTATGAAGATAAATCAGAGGCATATTTCCTAAACTGCTCATACTGCATCCCAGAGGTGTCAGGACAAAGGAATGAGATCTTTCTATACACTTAACCCACTGCTTGGCTCACTGTGAACACCTAATACATGTTAGTTACTATTGTAATTACTACTCACGCTATTATTACCGGGCAGGTATTATGTTAAGTGAATGGGCCCTTAACATTAACCTCTTGGCCTCAGTTTTATCTCAGTAAAATGGAGATCATAAAACGGCCAGTTCTACTCTAACGTTTCATGAGTGTTCCCCAAAATCACTGGGCCATGAGAAATCACGCATTAAAAACCACAGGGATTGTGGGAACAGTGGGGCCAAACACCTCACCCATGAGACAATGAGAAAAAGATAAGAACCTAGGGGAAAATGGTAGTACAAGTTTACACATGTTAAATGGCTAACAAATACCCTAAGTGCTACAGAAAATACGGCACTTTACTCTTAAAACAACCTCAGGTTCACTCTGGAAGTGGACTATGGGTGGGATGGCAGCTGAGCTACTGTGAGGCGTGAAAGGTGGGGTATCTGAAATTGGACATTTGATATGAATGATGGGATACATAATACACACACACACCACACACACACACACACACACACACGTGCACACACGTGCACATACACACATGCACGTACCGTGAGTTGGGGTCAAGGGAGGATAGGGTTTAGGTATGTGTGTGTGTTTTGTGAATTCCTGCTCAGCTCAGCTCAGCTGGGTGCAGGTTTTTGCATTCTCCTTGTGTTTCTCACAGATAAAATTGCACATAAGCTAATGTGAAATTTGCATTAAGCTTTGCTCGTGCCCTAATATATCAATCACATTGGAACAAAGTCAGGTGTTCAAAACAAATAGTTCCTATCTCCTAAAGCTTCTGGACAGAGAGAGATCATATTAGGACACTACATGTTTAGCTAAGTTGTTATTTTTATCTCACTTAATCGTCATGACAACCCTGCTAGGTAGGTGTCAGTCTAACACTGAGGTCAAATCATTTGCCAGGTCAGACACCTGGTGAGTGGAGGTACCAGGATCCAAGTCCAGGTGTTGATACAGAACCCCCACCCTATATAAATTCACCCTCCAGCAGCCTACAGCTTCAGAGCTGGAAGGGATACATCCCACTTTAAAAAAGATAAACTTTTTATTATTTCAGAGAGGAAGAGAAAGGGGGAGAGAGAAACATCAATGATGAGAGAGGATCATTGATCGGCTGCCTCTAGCACAGAGGAATTGAGCCCGCAATCCGGGCATGTGTCCTTGTTGGGAATCAAACTGTGACTTCCTGGTTCATAGGTTTATGTTCAACCACCGAGTCATACTAACCAGACTTCATACATCCCACTTTTTTTTTTTTTTTTACCTTCTTTGACCAGATGGGTAAACTGAGAAACTTGACAAGGATCCCACACTCTTAAGCGGAGAGACAAGTTCTGTATCCAGCTCTTTCATCCTGAGCATTGACTTCCTCTATCCTTGTCTTCCCTCTTACCGTTCATTTGCTGTGTGCTCAGTCCACCTTGGGGAGTTGGGTCTCAATGGGGGGAGAGGTGAGGGGACAGAGGAGCTGAAGACCCAGTGCTGACCCTTACCGACACGGGTGGTGCTGAGGAAGATAAGGCAGGAGGGCAGGAGCAGTGACATAAGGCAGGGCTGCCACCACATTTATGGGCACACTGATTACATCATAAACCTGGTTTGTATACTTACCAGCACAGCTTTCCAGAAGGTGGCAGTAAAGAGTACTTGTTCTTGCAAAGTTGGTTCCTTTTGACAGTTTTCCCCACAGACACAGTAAAGCATCTCAAGGGACGGGTGCCTGTGTCCGATCTCACAAAGGCAGCCTGTGGTTTAGCAGCAGCCTTGACCAGAGCGGGTGAGGACTTCCAGGTGTCTGGGAGGGAGGGTGAGTGTGGTTGGGGGAGTCAGAGGAGTCGCTGATCAGGGGAAGCTGGTCTATGCTGCCGAACCAAACGACCCCCCCCCCCACTCCCACCCTCCCAGTCTCAGCGGCTGTGATAACAAAGCTTGGTCCCCACTCACACACAGTCAGCCGTGGGTTTGGGAGTCTCCTTCCCTCCATGCAGAGACTCAGCTCTTTCCATCTCAATGCAAGGCCCACACACCTCCAGGCCCAAGGGAAGCTGGAGTGCAGCACCTGCTCTGAAGGGCTTTGGTGTGAAGTTGACACACAGGTCACTTCTGCTCACACCTGTTAGCCATGCTGGTGCCCGGGCTCGCTTACCCACAGGTGGCACACATGGAGGAGCTTCTGTTCCCTCGCTCTCCTTTTCTCTCTTTTCCCAGAGTTGGGGGCAGACTCCGGAGGAGGCTGCTGCTCTCCTCCCTTATTCCTTTTTTTGTTCATTTGTTATTTTTAATTTCATTAAAATTTGTTGGGGTGACATTGGCTAATAGAATGATACAGGTTTCAGGTGTACAGTTCTATAATACATCTTCTGCATATGGCATTGTGTGTTCATTCAAAGTCTTCTTTTGTCAACATGTATTTGGCCTCCTTTACACTCTCCTACCTCCTCCCAAACTCCTTCCCTCTGGCCACCGCCCTACTGTTGTCTGTGTCTGTGAGTTTTTGTTTGTCATGTTTGTTTATTCATTGCTTTCAGTTTTACATCTCACATAGAGGTGAAATCATATGGTTCTTGACTTTCTATATGACTTATTTCACTTAACATAATATGTGCCAGATCCATCCATGTTGTTGCAAATAGCAGTATTTTATCTTTTCTGATGGCTGTGTAGTATTCCATTGCATGTATGTATGTACCACATCTTCTTTAACCAATTATCTATTGAAATTTCTATTGAAATTATCAACAACAACTTATGTTGTTGGTTGTTTCCACATCTTGGTCACCGTGAACAATGAACATAGAGGTAGACATATCTTTTTTGTTTAATCTTTATTGTTGAGAGTATTACAGATGTCCCCTGCCCCCACCCCCCATTACCCTCCTCCACCTGGTTCCCACCCTCCCCCAGACCTTCACCACCCTATTGTCTGTGTCCATAGGTAAGGCATATCTATACTGTTAAAAGGGTAATATGATAATTAGACCGGACGTTTTCCGGACATCCTTCCACACAAAGCCACAGTGGCTGTGAGGGCTGAGGGCAGGCAGCTGCAGCAGCCGGCAGTGGCAGCAGCAGCAAGGTGATGGAGATGGTGCCTTCCCCTGATCAGCCCAGTCAGCTCCCACAGAGGGAGGCTAGACTGCGGCTTAGCCATCAGTAGGACATCTCCTGAGGGATCACAGACTATGAAAAGGGGCACACCAGACTGAGGAACAACACCCCTTCCCCCCCCCCCCACCCAGGTCCTGGGTGCCTGCTGCCAGCCAGAGGGAGGGAAGCCCAGGTCCCAGGTGTGGGGGCTAAGGCAGAGACAGTTAGGGGCAATCAGGCAGGCAAGCAGGTGAGCAGTTAGGAGTCAGTGGTCCCAGATTGCAAGAGGATGTCCTACTGCTGATTTAGGCCTGATCGGGCAGTTGGACATCCCCCAAGGGGTCCCAGATTGGAGAGAGTGCAGGCTGGGATGAGGGAACCCTCTCGCCCCCACTACCTGTGCACAAATTTTGTGCACCGGGCCTCTGGTATACATATAAGATCTTTGAATAATCTCTTCTCAGCCCTTCATCCTCCCTTTCCTCTGAAATTCATCAGTCTGTTCCATGTCTCCCTGCCTCTAACTCTATTTTATTCATTAGTTTATTTTGTTCATTATATTTCTTGTTCATTTATTCTTATTTTTAGATTCAATTGTTTATAGATATATATTTATTGCCATTTTATTTATCATATTTTTTATCTTTCTTTTTTCCCCTTTTTCTTCTACTTAAAGAATATCCTTCAACATTTCATGTAATATTGATTTGATGGTGATGGACTCCTTTAGTTTTTTCTTATCTGTGAAGCTCTTTATCTGACCTTCAGTTCTAAATGATAGCTTTGGTAGGTAGAGAAATCTTGGTTGTAGGTCCTTGTTATTCATCACTTTGAGTATTTCTTGCCACTCCCTTCTGTCCTTCGAAGTTTCTGTTGAGAAATCAACTGACAGTCATATGGGTGCTCCCTTGTAGGTAACTAACTGCTTTTTTCTATTGCTGCTTTTAAAATTCTCGGTTATCTTTAATCCTTTGCATTTTAATTATGATGTGTTTTGGTGTGGGCCTCTTTGGATTCCTCTTTTTTGTGATTCTCTGCACTTCCTGGACTTGTAGTTATTTATTTTACAAGGTAGGGGAAGTTGTCTATCATTATTTCTTTAAATAGGTTTTCAATATTTTGCTCTCTCACATCTCCTTCTGATACCCCCATAATGCAAATGTTGGTACATTTGAAGTTGTCCCAGAGGCTCCTTATTCCAAATCGTTGATTTGATTTTTGGAATCCTCTGCCCTACTATTGGATCCCTATAAATTATTCTTTACTTCAGTTAGTGTATGCTTAATTTCTGACTGGTCCTTTTTCATGTCTTTGACATTCTCACTAAGATCCTTGAAAGTCTCACTAAGTCCCTTTGCGCTCTCATTAATTTTCTTGACGCTCTCATTAAGTCCCTTGAAGTTCTCATTTAGACCCTTGCATAACCTTATAACCATTGTTTTAACTCTGTATCTAGTAGTTTGCTTGCTTCTATTTTTTTTTTTTTTTTTTTCATTTGTAACATGTTTCTTTGTCTCTGCATTTTGGCTGCTTCCCTGTGTTTGCTTCTGTATTCTAGGTAGAGCTGTTATGTCTCCTGGAATTGGTAGAGTGTCCTAAAGGCCCAATGGCTCAGTCTCCACAGTCACCTGAGCTGGGCACTCTAGGTGTGCCTCTGTGTGGGCTGAATGCACAGTCTTGTAGTTGAGCCTTGGTTGCTGTTGGCATTACTGGGAAGAATTGGCCTCCAGACAGTTGGCTCTGAGGACCAGCTGTGTCTACAATGGAAGAGCTACTATGCAGGAGACATCCATAAGAAGCAGGGCTTGCTTCAGTGGGGCTTTGGTGCTCACTTAGTCTTCTCCATGAGTGTGTCATTTGTGAATTGGTAGAGTTGTAATCTGGTGTGCTCTGAAGCTATCACCAGGTGCACTGGCTCTGGGGCCTTCTAGGAGGAGCAAAGTCTGCCACTGTTTGCAGCCATCTGGCAGGAACTGCAGAGAAATCTGCAGGTGGCTGCTACTTGTATTGGGCTAGGAAGTGCCCAGATGAGGCCCAGCTGTGAATGAAGACAGGCTGGTGCTAGTGCCAGGTCTTGGGCCTTTAATTGGTAGGTTTGGGGCACACTGATGCCAGATGCTAGTTTTTTGAGAGATTTTAGCAAAGTCTGAAGCCTGAACCAGGACAGGCTATTAGGTCTAGTAATAATTAATGTCGTTTTCTAATATTTTTTTTTTAAATCGAATTTATTTAAACAATACCACAAAATTTAATCAACAATATAGTTGCCGTTGTTTTCTACTACTTGTGCCCAACGCTCAGGAAGCATTTTAATCCCTCTGTTGTAAAATTCTTGTGATTTTGATGCAAAAAATTCGGTCAATGCATTTTTGAGGCATTCTTCATTATTAAATTTTTTTCCAAGAAGAAAGTTTTGCAAAGAACGAAACAAATGGTAATCAGAAGGGGCAATATCAGGAGAATATGCAGGTTGAGGGAGAACTTCCCATTCCAACTGGCGCAGTTTTTCAGCAGTGATTCTTGCAGTATGTGGTCGTGCGTTATCGTGGTGAAGAATTACACCCTTCCAATTAATCAGCGTGGGTTCTTTTTCTCTTAAAGCTTGGGCTAACCTTTCCAATTGGGCACTATACACTACACTTGTAATGGTTTGGTTAGATGGTAAAAGTTCATAATGAAGAATTCCTTTAAAATTCCACCAAACACACAACATCACTTTTTTCGCATGCAAGTCAGTTTTTGGCGTGGGCTGCGGAGCCTCATTTTTGTCCAACCATTGAGGCCGCCTTTTCAAATTAACATACAGCACCCATTTTTCATCTCCGGTAACAATTTGCTCTATTGATAAAAACGGCAAACGGTTTTGACGAGAGAGGAGCGAACTGCAAATTGTGCTCTTTGATTACGGTTGTTGTCGGTCAACTCATGAGGAACCCATTTTCCAAACTTTTGGACTTTGCCAAGTGCACGCAATTCATTGGAAATTGTTTTTTGTGAACAATTTAAAGTTGTCGCAAGCTCTTGTTGGGTAATTTGAGGATTTTGCACCAAAAGAGCTTGAAGAGCTTCTTGATCAAAATTGGACACACGGCCTCGACCACTCTTGTCATCTAACGAAAAATTTCCCTCGTGAAATTTCTCAAACCAACGCTGGCATTTTCTGGCGCTAACTGGATCTTGACCAAGAGCACTACAGATGTTTTTTGCAGCCTCACTTGCTTTTCTTCCTAATTGGAACTCGTAAAGCATGCAGTGCCGAATATGCTCTTCATCCGCCATCTTCTTAGCCCTAGTTTTGCAACAAAAACCAAACCAAACACAAACTTTTTCAAGCAAAACTTGTTAATTGCACTTCACACGTTCTGTAGATACCATGTGTTTGAAGGTTATGTCAATACAAGTCAACGCCAAGCAAGATTTTAAACGAATGTTTAAAAACGACGTTAATTATTACTAGACCCGATATATGGAAAAACTGCTACAAACAGCTTGGTGGGGTTGAAAATTGGATAAGGTCTCAGGGAATCACCAGGCAGAGCAAACAGTTTGGGCCATTCTGACGGAAACTCAGATATGGCTGCCAGTCAGTCCTGCATTGGGGAGGTCCCAGCACAGGAACAATGACCCTTGTGACCACCCCTGTCTGGGAGAAAGCTGCCCCTGAGTTTCTATCCCAATGCCACAGTCCAGTGTCTCCCACCCCCAACCCTCACCTGTATGTCTCTGGATTTCCCCAAAGCCACCATCTGAAGCTAGAGCTCAGAGGAAGCAAAAACCTTGTAAGTTCATGGGCAGGCCCTTTAAGAAGAACACCTGGGACTCCAGCAGCCTCTGTGTCACTCAGCCACAATCCCTGCTGGTTTTATAGCCTGGAGTTATGGGGACTCCTCTTCCCAGCTCTGGAACCTTGGGCTAAGAGTCTGATGTGGGGCTGGGACCCCTTGCTTCTTACGGGAGGCCTTAGAGACATCCCTCCTGATTTAAAAATCACCACACGTGATTTAAAAATCACCAGCCTCCATTCCCCCTACCAGTCTCAATGTGCTTTCTTCTTTACTTCTTTAGTTGTAGGACTTCCATTCAGCTACATTTCAGGTAGTTCTAAATGACGGTTGTCCTGTATTCTAGTTGTAATTCTGATGTGGTTGTGGGAGGTGGCAAGTACAGGTGTTTACCTATGCCATCCATATATCTTTATGAATCTCTCCTGCCATATTTTGAACAAGCCCCCCACGTTCCCTCTTCTTCACACCTTCCACGTCATCTCTCTGCAGATTCGTGTTCCTTGTGCTGGCGCACTTTGACCTGGAGCTGGTCAACCCCGACGTGGAGATCCCTGAGTTTGACCTCAGCAGGTACGGCTTTGGGCTGATGCAGCCAGAACACGATGTGCCCATCCGTTACCGCATCCGGCCGTGAACAGACTGGGCTCCACACGCTCGCCCCCTCCCAGCCCGCACCCGGATCGCCCAACTTCCTATGTCCACATCTGGCCTGGGTGCACAGCTTCGGACACCCAACAGTATCAGCTTTAGCAATTTACTGCTCTTTTCCTGGAAGGCTGGTTGGGGGAAGGGAGGAGAAGGAAGCTGAGAGAGGAAGGTTTAGTCCAAAATGAGGTTCTTTCTGCATGTTCCCAGCTCACCTTGCTCCTCTCACCTTATGACACCCACAAAAGGTAGGGCAAACAGGGCAGGAGTCCTGACTGCTGTGCCCCAACTCCCAGAGGGACCACGGTCCAAGCCTTTGGCAATGGTGTGATTGAGGTCTAAACCACTCAAAGCAGATGCTGGCCTTAAAAATGCCATTTGGGATCCAGCAGTCCGCAAATTACTTTAAACCAGGTGAAGCCAAAGGAGTCCTTAGACTGTTTCTCATCCCCTCATCTCTCCATTCACACCAATTCTTGAGAAAGCGCAGGAGGGTTTCCGAAGCTGATGCATCCACGATTCAGATCATGAGCACTCTCTAGACGCTGGGGCTGGAGCAGGGGAGCTCACTGTTCCAGAGTTATGGGCTCCAGGTGGGACAAGCCTTGTTAATGCTAAGATTCGAGTCGGGAATAAGAAAGACACAGACCCCACAGGACGGTCCTGATGGACGGAAGCAGCCAGGCTCCTTGGACCGAGCGAGGCAAAACAGAAGAGGCTTTGGTTTCCTTCAGTCTAGCTCAGAAGCTCCAGCTGTGGGCATGATGCAGTCTGCAGACATATTTTATATACAGTATATATAAATGGTTTCCATATCGTCTTTGGGAGAGTTAATTCAAAATGCCCAGCTTCTCTTGGAAAAACCGGGCACACCAGGCCATTATTCCCAAGGGCAAGCACTGGCCAGGGTTGAGAAGCAGCCACCTCCCTTTTCTAGGGCATGTGCTCTGGGTTTCTACCTGGTGGAATTTTTTCTCTCCGCTTCTCCATTCCTAGTACCTCCTGGCCCATGAAGGCATTCGAGCTTGAGAATCCTGTCCTACCTCTTAGAGGTGATCTTTAAGGAAGGGGTAGGAACCTGCTAACTGGTTCTTAGGCCAATGGTCCATCTTCCTGTGTTCACACCCTTCGAACAAACAGACCAATGATGAAAACTTAACCTTTGCATCAGTTTGGGGGTGGGGGGAAGAGGAGCTCAAAGAGAAAGAATTGCCTAGAAACCTTTATTAGGATGGTAAGCATTGTTAATATTAGGTTCTGTTTATTGAGGACTCTCTAAATATCTGTGACAGGCACATGGACATAGTATTTCTATTTCTCACACCATCTCTGCAAAGAGGGGATGGTTACACCTTTTTATAGATGAGGAAACAGGTTCAGAGAGGTGAGGTGCCTGCCAGGGTCACACAACTCCTAAGCTAGTAGAATTCAGCGAACAGACTTAATTGTCCTAATATTGGGCTCAAGGGGATGATGGAGGGACAGTTCTGTTTGGTATCAGAGCCAGAGGCATGCATGGCTGGATGCATCTCATGAGATGCAGACACACATACACACACAGAGCTAAGTGACTTTAGCTTCAGCTGGAAGAGAAGAGAGGACCTGAGATCTCCGAATGTGTCAGGAGCTAGTCTCTCGGTGCAGCCCTGGGGCGTGGGGGCTTCCCTGGCCCTCAGCCTCCAGGCGCCCCCAGGATTCCCAGACAGACACTGATTGGCAGGAGGCAGGATATCCCCAGGGAAACCCATCTTCATGCCTGGGTGACCCCGGCTGCCGCCTGCTTCTTAACTCCGCAGGAAATCAGGCCTGGCAGCCTCCTGTGGGAGGATGGAGCCGGTTTCCACGGCAACCCTCAGCTGCCTCATCCTAGCTTGGAAGGAAGGAAGAAGGCCAGCAGAAATAGCAGCAGGAATATCTCTCTGTGAGGCTGCTACTCTGGTGGGGGAAAGCCCTTATGATTCCCGCTTCCAAATCAGGGACGCTTTGTCACTGAGACTAGATTCTCACCTGTTTTTTTGTTGTTGTTGTTGTTTTTTTAAAAAAAGGCCGATTTCCTTTAAAGGTGGTGCACCTCCTTGAAGCCACAATCGTTAGGAAGAGACAAATTTCCCACCAGGCAGCTCCAGCTGGTACTAGAGATACTGAGGTACAGCTTAGGAGACAATGATTTAAGCCTTCCCTTGTTTAATCTTTCTTTTTCTTATTCTTTTAAAAAAAATATAAAGAAGAGTGAGAGATGAATGGGCTAGCTCCTTGCTACAGATTATCTAGGAAGGTACCTAGTTGTCATTGTATTTCTTCATACCTTGCTTTAGAATCACAAGATTGCAGGACATATGTTAGAAACAGTCTTAGGTTGACCTAATGAATTGTTTCTTAACATCATCATCTTTTTTTTTTTGCTATATTTTGTATTGTTGTTTACCAGATATTTTCCTTGAAACAGATTCATTTTTTAAACTTTATAGTTGTTTGAAAAGGTAGCTTTTTTATTATTATTATTATTATTATTATTATTATTATTATCATCGCTGCCGGTAATGGACAACATATATCACTCATTGTCAATAATAGAAAGTGACTGTGAAAAATAACTTCAATGGAAGGGGGTCTCCATGCTGGTGTCGCTGAGGCTCAGGGCCTGAGATCTGTCACTTCTCTGTTACAAAGTGAGACAAGCAAGTATTCCAGTGGCATTAAAGTCAGGCCGGCGCCACCCCGAGACTTTCTCCCCGACAATCACTGGGAGAAAGGCGTGAGCGGCTCGCCACGAGAGTCACCTGTGCATTACATCTGGCCTGAGTGCCCCCCAGGGTGTTCTGCCATCAGCAGCCGAGCACACTGAGCTGGTGACCCACCTGCCCATTCTTCAAAGGAGAGCTGAAGTGTCTTGCCAGACCCATTGATGTCGATGTGTATTTTTAAATAAACTGTTTTGTGAGTAGCCTTGCTGTTTAAGTAAAGAGTTCTATTTTCATATAATACTGTTGAGTGGAAACATGCTGAAATATATTAAACCATCCTTGTTTGTGAAACTGCGTCTGAGTGTCATTCAGATTGAGGCCGGCTGTGTCCGGAATGGCAGAGTTAGCTTTTAGGAAGGGAGCACAGAGCACCTTAGAATCCAGTCATATCTCCAGCTGCCCTCCAAGGTGTGTGTTACAATCTCCACTTGCACAGGGGAAGACGTCGAGGGTCAGAGAGGTGAAGTGGCTTGCCCAAGGTCATGTGGCTAATGAATAGTAGATGTGGGATTCAAGTGCAGGCCTCTGCCTCCTGAGACCGAGCTCAGGATCTTTCCATCACTGGTCCTCCTGGTGGCACAGAGGACAGAATAGCCGCAGAGGACTTTGGAGTGGAGGCTCACAACCCCAAAGCTCTCAAAAACTCACTGGATGTTCTTTACCCGTCAGTGTATGTAGGCATTTATTTAAATTAAAAAGGGGGAAGGGGGCTAGCTGATTTGGCTCAGTGGATAGAGCACTGGCCTGCCGACTGAAGGGTCCTGGGCTCGATTCCGGCCAAGGGCACGTGCCTGGGTTGTGGGCTCAATCCCCAGTAGGGGGTGTGCAAGAAGCAGCCAATCAATGATTCTCTCATCATTGATGTTTCTCTCTCTCTTTCCCTCTCCCTTTCTCTCTGAAATCAATAAAAATACATTTTTAAAAATCCTAGCAATGCTCTGGTTTCTCTTCAGACTGCATAAATCTCGCCTTTTAAAAATCTTAGCAGTCCTAACCGGTGTGGCTGAGTGGATAGAGTGTCGGCCTGCAGACTGAAGGGTCCCAGGTTCGATTCCAGTCAAGAGCATGTATCTTGGTTGCAGGCACATCACCAGTGGGGAGTAAGAGACAGCTGAATTGATATTTCTCTCATTGATGTTTCTAACTCTCTATCCCACTCCATTTCTCTCTGTAAAAAATGTCAACAGCAACATTTTCACATTAAAACATTACCTTCAATACAGCAGACATTTTTTTCTCTGTCACGTAGATACAGGAGAGCAGAGGTGGTGTGCACCTCCACACTCACCAGACCCTTTCCTCCTGGTTCCTCCATTATCAACTATCGGTTTCCACCTTAGAGTCCAGTATTGCTGCTTGAGCTCCAGCCCTTCTTTTTACATTCCGGATTGGTAGAATGAGCAAGGAACAAAGAAGAGAAAATCTGCTTGCATCCCATTTGTCAGACTTAGTCACATGACACTTCTTGTCACATAGGAGACTGGGAAATGTAGTATTTCCAGAGGGGCACTATAGCAGGGAGATGAGGAGACTACTAATGGGTATGGGATTTCTTTTTTCTTTTTCTTTTCTTTTTTTCTAAGAATAATGAAATAAAAGATTTTATTGGAATTTGTACAGAGCCGCCTGAGAAGGCACATGGACATTCTTTTAATTCTGATCAGCTGAGCCCGAAGGCACTGGCAAAATCCTGTTATCAGTACTGATTTCTTAATCCACGTGTTTGGAATGAGGAACAAATAGGACCTTGACTCACCCAGGTCTTGATATGTTAAATCTTATACCAAAAAATAAGGAGCTTACCCAGATTTTGATTTTGATGAACCGGGTATGGGATTTCTATTGGGGGTGATGCAGTGTTCTAAGAATTGTAATGAGGGTTTCACAATTCTGCAAATTTATTAAAAACCATTAACTTGTACATTTTGAATGGATGAATTTTATAAAATTGTTATGTGTATTTTTAAAGGAAATATTTAAGCACCTCGTGTGCTAGGAACTTTTCTAGGCAATGGGGACTCAGCAGTGACTAAAACAGCCCCCCAAAATCCATTCTCATGGAGTGATATTCTCCTGGGGGAGACAATAGTCTAGGTAATAAGTATCAATAAGTATGTCGAGATGATAAGTATCATAGAGAAGAATAAAGAGTGAAATGGGGTGGGGAATTGCAACTCTAAGCAGGGTGAGCAGGGAAGGCCTCTCTCCGGTGATCTTTGAAGAGAGACTAGAAGAAAGTGAGAGGAGCAAATCAGAGGGATATGTGAGGGAAGAATGTTCCAAAAGATGGAACAACAAATGCAAAGACCCTGAGCTAGGAAAGTCTCAGGCAGTTGGAGGGAGGCCAGTGTGGCTAGAAGCCATGGAAGATTCTGGGTAAAGGAGAGATGATCTGACTTGAGTCCAGCAGGATCCTTCTCACTGTGTATGTGAGAATAACAGGCTGTAGGAGGACAGGCAGGAGGTAGGGTGACAGGCAGAAAGGAGACTGTGACAGCTCAGGAAGGTCTCTACCCTCGTAGATTTTACTTTCAGGCAGAAGAGACAACTTATCTCAGAAGCAAGTCAACAAAAACACAATGTCAGGCACTTTGAGGGCTCTGAAGACAAGCAAACAGCTCAGAGTTGCAATTCCCCACCCCATTTCACTCTTTATTCTTCTCTATGATACTTATCATCTCGACATACTTATATTGATACTTATTACCTATACTATTGTCTCCCCCAGGAGAATATCACTCCATGAGAATGGATTGGGGGGGGGGGGGCTGTTTTAGTCACTGCTGAGCCCCCATTGCCTAGAAAAGTTCCTAGCACACATGAGGTGCTTAAATATTTCCTTTAAAAATACACATAACAATTTTATAAACAGCAAAGGAGATGGTCAGGACAGATCTCTCTCCAAGGAGGGGGCAGATGAGCTGAGGTTTGAATGAAAAGTAGTCAACCTTGTAAAGAACCAGGACAAGAGCTTTCCAGGGAAAACAAATGGCAAATGCAGAGGCCCTGAAGAGGCAAAGGGCTTGGTGTATTTGCGAAACAGTGAGGTTGCCAGGGAGGCCGGCCGAGTGAGATATGACAAGAGCTGTGCCTGGAGGACGCTCCGCAGCCATGGCGGCAGCCTGGTCTGGAAGTGCCTCTGGAAGCCATCAGAGAGTTTAAGTAGGAAAGTCAACAACAGCTTTCCTTTAAATGGAATCAATTTAGCTTTATAAGAATCTCATTCCATCATCCTTATTTTTCTCATTCCACTGTGGGCCAGTGAGCAAACTCCTTTAATGCATTGGTGTTTGGGAATCACGGCCCCTTGATACATGATCCAGAGGGCTGTGTCTGCAGGGAAGGAGGGTGATGAATCGGGAGAGCTGCTATCCTCTCACCCTGGGAACCTCCCCTAGGACCTCAGTGTAGCCTGGGAGAGACAAGGCGGATGTATCCATGTTGCAAACCTGGGAAAGTGGGTTCTTGCAATAAACAGGGTCTCTGTGTGCTTTTATTTCAGGTGTTCTTTTTAAAAAATATATATTTTATTGATTTTTTTACAGAGAGGAAGAGAGAGGGATAGCTAGAAACATCAATGAGAGAGAATCATCGATCAGCTGTCTCTTGCACACCCACTACTGGGGATATGCCCGCAACCAAGGTACATACCCTTGACCAGAATCGAACCTGGGATCTTTCAGTTCACAACCTGTTGCTCTATTCACTGAGCCAAACCGGTTTCAGTTATTTCAGGTGTACTTAATACTGACCAACCACTGTGTGGAAAATGCTGATTTCCTGGCCAAACTTTCAATCTCCTTGTCATTCTAAATAAACTAACTCTTCAGTTAAATAACTGAAATAACTCTTCAGATATAGGCAGCCATGAGCTCAGTGAAAATAGAGCCAACCTCCAAATCACAACTTGAGGCCAATCCAATCATAGGTACCAGTCACCTTTGGCCAGGGATTGGGCTAATGTGGTCATATAACGCAGTACCAATGAGATGGCCCAGGAAGTCTGTGGG